ATATACATGTGAAGTAAACCACTGACAAACATTTCAGAACTCAAGGGTCACAGAGTCTAAAATACAGCTTTTTTCTAGACCTTCCTTTAGCTCTCTGGGAGATGGCGAATGGGGACTGCTTTTAGGAAAGGAGGGTTCCACATCAAAAGAGCCTAATGATTGGGAGGGATTTATCCCACTTGTCACATCTGGCTATCATGAGAGATCCCAGCTGTTTTGCGCTGGGCTATAACACCTATTTAGGGAGGACTTCAGGGTTGTTGTGTTAACATGTTTGATTTGTCTATTTCCCTTGGTCTTGATCTAAGGGAGGGAGAGGCTAGGGATTTTGGGACAATCTGTTGTTCTCAGCTAGAAAGCACAAAGGGGTAGGATTGCACAGAGAAAAGATTAATCTAACTATCAGTGTGACAGAGGGAAGAAGTAAAAATGGGATTTTGTCCAATGGAAAAAATCCAATTTGAAAGGCAAATGTGGTATGCGATAAATAGCTATTTGTTGGGAGTGGTTTATGAGATCACAAATCCTGCACCTTGGCAGGGGATTAGACTAGATGACCCTCTCTGTCCCCTCTAGTTCTACCATTCTAGGTAGAAGAGCTTAAGAACTGTATTTATGATGCAGGTTTTGCATGGATTTGACATTTCATCTTGCCTACCTTGGAGGATCCTATTTGGATAGCTATTTAGGAAGGCTGTGTCTTTTAATGGTAACTTTTTGGTGTCAAGAGAGTGTAAGAGTACTGCAGTGAGTTGAAGATATGGCAATTTGTGGTCAAGGGAAGACTGGTTGTGAGGATTTGTAAGGACTTGAATACCATAGTTCCTGGAGACATAGGCTGAGAATGTGGCATTTAATACAGATCTCACCGATCATGCTCTTGGTAACCACTGATGATCATAGCAGGTCTGCAGATAACAACCCAGCTCTTTGATTCAGGTTGTTAAATGAAAGTGTAGTGGCCACATGTAGACACGAGAAGTTATTCCTAGCTTGTAAATTTCAAAAATGGTGCCCGGCTGGGAAGATGCAAATCAAGCCTGGGATATTTAAATCCCGGGCTTGATTTACAATGCTGAATGCCTACATTTGCAGCCCTATTCCGAAGTAGGCTGCAAGTGTAGACATACTCTTACATACATAAAGCCTGGGCCTCATCCTAACTCAATCATGAGGCCCAGGCTTTATGTATGTAAGAGTATGTCTACACTTGCAGCCTACTTCGGAATAGGGCTGCAAATGTAGGCATTCGGCATTGTAAATCAAGCCTGGGATTTAAATATCCCAGGCTTGATTTGCATCTTCCCAGCCGGGCACCATTTTTGAAATTTACAAGCTAGGAATAACTTCTCGTGTCTACATGTGGCCACTACACTTTCATTTAACAACCTGAATCAAAGAGCTGGGTTGTTATCTGCAGACCTGCTATGATCATCAGTGGTTACCAAGAGCATGATCGGTGAGATCTGTATTAAATGCCACATTCTCAAAGTTATTCCTGGCTTCTAATTTCAAAATTGGCTTCAGGCTGGGAAGATGCAAATCAAGCCCAGGATATTTAAATCCTGGGCTTGATTTGCAATTCCGAATGCCTACATTTGCAGCCCTATTCCGAAATAGGCTACAAGTGTAGACATACCCTAACAGAGACCTAATTAAATGATGCTGTAGTTCAGTGTTTCTCAACCTTTTTTTATAAAGTAACCCTTTAAAAAAAATTATAAGTACCCCCAGTACCTACAGTTTTCAGACACACCATTTTTTTTATACCATTGTAACACATTTGTTTAAACAACTTAATCATAAAAAGTACAAAAATAATAAAGTGCTATAAAACTTAAAAACAAAAATTCAGTTTTCTCCACATTTCAGTTTGTTGATCTACCCTCCAGACTTTTCTCAACTACCCCTAAGGGTACTCGTATCACTGGTTGAGAAACACTGCTCTAGGTTGACTATGAATCCAGATGACTCCAGTGAATTACTCTGTTCAGCAAGAGTCCCGTGGCAGGGAGAATGGTTGTGCTGTTTGCACCTACTCTTCAATTTAGGAAGTGACAGAACTCAAAATTGCATTTTGTAAAGTGTGACTATAAATCTGTGATGTGAGTCTTGGGACTGTGCAAAGAAGGGCTGGCTCTATTTTACAAATCACCATAAAGTATTTACTTACCCTGACAAAGTTAATGTACGGTGTCATCCACATAGCCTAGGCTACTCATTATTTACATTAATTTAATATTTATATTGTGGTTGCACCTAGAGGTCTCAACCTGGCCCAGTGGGACCAACAGCCACCAGAAGCCCAGAGGAAAGAGGAGAGGTGGGGCCCAGCGCCACACCCCCAGAAGGGGCAGAACCTTGGGTGGAAGAGGCCAATGGCAGTCAGTCCTTAGCACAGCCCAGAGTGCGGCACTTGGGCCCTCCCTCCCAGCCCTCAGAGCCATGTGGAGCAGCGAAGCAGCACTCCGGCAGCAATTCAAAGGGGCCCAGGGCACCGACTGTGTAGCAGTGGCGGCAGCAAGGAACTCTGGACCCCTTTGAAATGCTGGGCCCCAATGCAATTGCCCCTCCCCCCCCAGCCTGTGGGCTTGACCAGGTCAAAGTCCCACAGTGCTAGACACTGTACATATCTATAGTAAATTATTGCTCCTGACCAAGCCCGCACATTCTGGGCAACTTCAAAGTTGGTGTTATTAGACAAGCAGGAGTCAATCACGGTACTGCCTTGAACTAGATTTGCTTTTAGTATAGTTCTGGTGATAACTGGATTGGGAAGTATGCTTAAGACTGACTATTTGAGGTAAAGGGTCTCCAGTCATTTTGGGGAATGGACTTGCTTAGATAGTCTATGTGAAGAGTCTAACAGTGTTCAGTGTGTTTCAGAGAGCTTTGGGGAATACTGCTGTCTTGCTAATAGTCAACTTTGTCAGTGGTTTGGTGTGACATGATAATACTATCATTAGCCACTGGTACACGGGCACATCACAGGTCACTGTGGAATTCAGCAGACTTGTGAATGGTAAGGCAGGAGGAAAAGATGGTTGGAATCTGTCCTCCATCCTCTTTGACCTGTTATCTTCCTTTGATAAAATTGACCATGCTTTTCTTCTTATCTTGTCCTTCCTCGGCTTCTTTACTGTCTTCTGGTTCTCCTCCTACCTCTTCAATCACTTCTTCAGAAAATTCACCTCACTTCCCCCCACCCCACATACACAACTTTTGGTAAAGATTTCATAAGACTCTGTCCTTGGTGTCCTTCTCTTCTCCTTTTACTTTTTTCTGGGTAATCTCATCTTCACACACAAACTCAATTGCCATCTCCATGCTGACAGCTCACAGATCTACCTCTGTATCCAGACCTGTCTTCTTCCATCCAAAAAGAAGTGTCAGCCAGTCTTGCTTAACATCTCACGGATGTCCAACCATCGGCTCCATCTTAACATGGCTAAAAGAGAGCTCTTAATCTCTCTCCTGCCCCTCTCAGAATCCTCTCTATTAACTCCTTTCTCAATCAATATGGACAACATCATGATCTAGTCTGTCACTCAGGGCATCAATTTTTAATGGTCCTCACAGCCAGGCCATGTCTAAATCTTGTGGATTCTTTAGGTAGAACATCTCTAAGATACGACCCTTCCTGTCCACCCACACAGCTAAAATTCTCATCCATGCTCAAATCATTTTGCATTCAATTTCTCAAACCTCTTTTTCTCTGGTCTTGACAAATGCAATCTTGTTTCACTCAGAGCCATTCAAAGTGCTGCTGCAACAATCATGTTTCTAGCCTGTCACTTTGACTCTGTCACTCTTTGCATCCCTCCACTGGCTCCTGCTTCTCTGCTGCATCAGACATAAGCTTCTTGTCTTTACTTCCAAAGCTTTTCACAGCTTAGCTACATTATCATTGTTCATTCACACTGAGATGTCAGTTTGACCTTTGATAGTGTCTGCCTCCCTCACCCACTTGTTAATCCAATCAGGGGTAATGGATTCTGCCTAAGTGGAGTGGGCCATTGTCCTGTCCCCTTGATACCTACGAAAAAAGTTAGGCCACTGGTGTGCTGCCTATCATTATATATCATAAGGTTTCTTAAGTACCCTACACCCTGTTGGCTCCAATACATCTAAATTTGTCTAATTCTTATTTAATCTATTCTTTGTTGTAAATGTTAACTGGATCAGGCATCTGGTCACCGTCAACCCTTTTTAGCAGAAACTGAAGCAAAGCAGGCATTAGACACCTCAGTCTTCTTGAGGCCAATCATTATTGCGCTTCTTGACCACAGAGGGCACATCTACACATCAGGGCTAATGCCGAAATAAGCTGTGCAACTTGAGCTACCTCAATTGCGTAGCTTAAGTCAAAATATCTTATTTCAACATTTGGCACTGTCTACATAGCAGGAAGTCTGGGGAAGATCACTCTTCCTCTGACTGCCCTTACTCCTCGCAAAATGAGGGTTACAGAAGTTGGAGTATGAAGTCTTCCAGCGCAACAATATTTTGACATTATGTTAAAATAACTGCTTGTAATGTACATGTGGACTATGCTATTTCAGAATAATATCAGTTATTCCAAAATAGCACTGCTGTGTAGATGTACCCTAAGTAGTGGTCCTACCCTTTCCCTAGTCTTTCTTGCTCCTAGTGTAATGGTGAGCAACGTGCAACCCACAGGCTGAACGTGGCTCATCAATGTAAGCTGCTAGTTGTGGGGAAGGGTCACCAAACAGATTATTTACCTTGCTTCCACAGATACAGCTGCCTACTGCTCCCATCGGCTTGGTTCACTTTTCTCAGCTAGTGTGAGTTACTGGTGGCCATACCTGTGGAACCAAGGTAAATCACTTGTCTGGTGACCCCCCCAGTCACTTACCCTGATGAGCCAAGTCCAGCTCATGGGCTATAGGCTGCCCATCACTGTCCTAGAGTATTTACAGAATCTAATCTTATTGCCTTTATGTCCCTTGTTAGAAGCATCTTATTTTGTGCTTTACCCTGTTTTTATCCTTACACATTGTGCTATTCTTTTGAACTTCTGTAGCAATCTTTCCATATTTCCTGCTTTTGTAAGTATCCACACATGTTTTTAAAGAGCATCTTCCAATTCTTCCCATCTTTTCTTTCTGTAAAGATAAAGGAACAACAGCAAAAATGCCAGCTGTTGTGAACTCCATTTTCCCTTAGATAAGTGCCACAAGAAGATAATATATTTATTGTCTTCATGCATAGCAAAAAGTAGTACCAAAAATCTTCTCTCCATTCTGGGGCTTTTCATGTACACCTGAAGAGCAGTGGAGTTGAAAGTCAAAGTCAGAGCAGTCATTTCAGGGCAATGTGGGACACCTCTGTACTATTGTAAAGTCGACCATGCAAGGTAAAATTTAGCATTACTCCTCATGAAAAGCAGCAGTACCAAAATCGACTTTAACCGCCCTTAAAGTCTGTGGAATGGGTTTGGTGATGTGGACTCATAGTTTAGAAATCCAACCTAATGTGGTTAAGCTCAACCTAAATGCCTAAAGTAGACCAGGCCTTAATAAAGTGTTGGGTTGCTGAGTTTTTTGTATTTTTTTTTGCCTCCACCATTTGTGTCTACTGTAATTTATTGCCATCTACTGGAATGCTGATGTTACAGCAATGTTCATTGACTCAATGTTCACTCAAAGTCACTAGAAAGAGTGATAGAACTTCCCAACTACACATCATCACCTGAATGAGACAGAGTATCTGCTTCCATCCATTATGTTTTTCTGTATTGTTTATTAAATGCAAGTTTTAGAGACTATAGGCTCCATACTTCCTAGATCACACAACTTTTCGGGGCTGAGAGATAGATTTAGTGGTGACAGTTAGGAAAGATGAAAACTATTTATTTTGAATATTAATGTAGGTGATCTGATGTGCAGAATAAACACTGTTGCTGGATAAGGTCATTAATAAGATAAAAGGAAAGACATCACTACACTCTATGGATACATCTACATAGCTGGATGTTATGGTTTAAGTCTGTCCACACCAAGCACCCCGGCTTCCCGGTACTTGCCACCAGTCCTTTCAAGTTCTTTTTAAATTGTAAAGGTCCCTTGAACGCCAAGAGGGAAGGGAGACCTAGGCTCTCCCTCACTCCAGGTCTCAGCCCAGGACCCTGGGAACAGGTATTCCGGCCACCTGTTCGGCTGGTGGAGTCATGCCGCAACTCACCAGCCCGCGGTCACTCCTCCGCCCTGTCCTGGGCTCCTTCCTTCCCTCCGGTCCGCTTTCACTGTCCCTGCCATGTCTCAGGTCCAGTCCTCCCTCGGGCTGGCATTGTCATCCCCGAAGTTCACCTCTCCTCCTCCTCCTTCTGGCTGGCGCTGCTCTCCACCTCATTTGCCTCGCCTCCTGTCTCCTCCCCTTGTGAGGCCTGTCTCTCCCTTTTCAAAGCTGGCACCCTTCCTTGGGATGCTGGCGCATGCGCAGTCCTCTCGTCCAGCAAGCTGGACCGGGGAAACCCTGTGCATGTGTGCATCGCGGCTGCCAAGCACTTCTGGCACAGGTGTTATGGTGCTCGCGTCCTGCGGTGCAGGGGCCAAGCGCCGCTCCAGTGTGAAATGCGGAGCTTTCCCCATCAGCTTCCGTCACCCCATCACACAGAGCAAAAGTTGAATTAAGATATGCAACAGCCATTAGTTCTAATTAACTTTAATAGGCGCTACACATACAAACTGCTAGTTCGAATTTAAATCGAACTAGCGGAGCCCTTAATTCGAACTAGGTAAACCTCATTCTATTAACAATCTCTTACTTTTAATGCATTAATACAAACTAATCAAACACGGAGACATTTGATTTTCCAGACACAGGTATTCAGCATTCCTGTATTCATGCTAAGCATATACAGGTGGAGGCAGGCCACAATGTCGTCAGGCATTAATGTTTTCATTTGGGAGCATCAATCTGTTTGGACTGGGCTGAAATATCATGTTTCTAGTTAAAGTTAATAGGATGGAGTGAAGTTAAAATAATTTCATGTTTTTGCCTCCAATTATACACAAACCCCCTCTGTTTTCTTCTGTACTACTTCATTCAGCCATGTGGACTCTTTTCTGGGATCAACCCTTCCTTTGTTGGATATCTCAGGGTATGTCTACACTACAGATAATTCGAACTAGTGCATCTAGAGCTAAAAACTAATTTGAATTAGCATTTTGCTAATTTGAACTAGCACACTAGCACACCACATTGAGTGGACCCTGAACCGAAGTTAAGGCTGGCCGGAAGCAGTGCCGGCAGGGCATCAGGTTAGGACTTAGAGTGTGGAGCTGCTGCCTCAGGCTAGCCGAGGGCTGTGCTTAAAGGGACCCGACCCCCACCCTGGACAGACAGTTCTCAGGGTTCCCCGCTTGCTTGTCTACCTCAATGAGGGACAGCAAACAGTCCTGACTTGGAGTGCCCTGAGTGCCCACACTCAGCCCATCACAGCACTCAGCCATCAGCCCGGCTGCACTTGCCGCAGGCTGCCATCCGGGGGAGGGGGGGGAAGGGCCAATCAGGGGGCTGTCAGGATCCAGGAGGCCCTGCAGGAGAGCTTCTACCCCGAGGAGCAGGCAGAGCCACCCCAGTCCTCCCCATTGGGGGCTTGTACCCCATTCCTCCCTCACCTCGTTCCACTTACCCCTCCCTAGCCTCCCTTCCTGATGTAAAAAATAAAGGACACGTGTGTTCAAAAATAGAAACTCTCTTTATTTAACAAAACTGGGGGCAGATGGGATTAACCTCTAGGGAGACTTGGAAAAGGAGGTGAGAGTGGGGAAGAGAGAGGGTGGGAGAGGGGAGGGCAACTACAATGATCAGGGAGCATCCACCAGGGCACCTGTTTTATTTCCTGGAGGCCTCTTCTCTCGAAAAAAAACCTCTCCTCCCGTCCACACTGGCCTTTTTCCGAAAGAGCTCATTCGGGAAAAGGCTTCTTTCTCATAGAAAGAGGATTACCAACTTCAGAAAAACTCCTCTGTTCTTTCGATTTACTTTTGGAAGAATGTGATTGCAGTGCAGACGTAACACGGGTTTTGTCGGGAAAACGGCCATATTGCCAACAAAACTCTGTAGTACAGACATACCTAAAAAACCCTGGGTTACTCGGGAGCATGTCACACTCACAGGTGTGCCTGGGCTCCTGATGGCTTTAACATAACAGGAAATCCTGAGTACCCCAGTGGTGATGTTGTTTAGTTGGGGAAAACCCTATCGACCCCCTTGCTGCTGTCCCGTGCTCATAAAGAACATACAATGGCAGTGCCTCCACCTGGTTGGCCCTGTACACACTTAATTGTGTGCCTTGAGAGCCTCCAAGAATAAAATTATTTCAGCAGTAATCTGGATCTAACTCCCGAACAACAATTACAAATCATAAATAATATACATCTGGTAGATTACATTAGAATGAACAACCTTTACTTAACTTAAATAACAGGTTTAACAGATTAACAGTGAATATCATTAACAAAGTACACAGCAATAATAGGAAACTGACCTTGTGGGCATGTGCACTGCCACCATTTACCCACTCCTCAGAACTCACAGTACCATACACTTGCTTGCGTGGGCGCGCTTGAAGATTTTGCAGGACTATACACGACTCCTTTTTAAAAAGCAAGTGGAAAATACCAATATAGATTTCAAAAATATGTAAAAAATATAAATCCAAAATGCCATGCATATGGGAGTTCCCTGCATGATGACAGCTACTTTCTGATTTTAGAAAAAACTTGCCTAACTACGTCATGATAATTTTTGAAATCTGGATTCTGAATCTTATATCTTTGTGCATATAAAGCTTAATAGACAATTTAAGAATTTCAGATAGCGACCTGTCCTGCTTATGAGAATTGCTTTCTAAATTTTAGTCAGGATAAGTAGGTGAAAATAATAACCTATATTATCTGTGAGGTATAATCTAATCACACCTGCATAATACTGATTTAACATCATTTACAAGAATCTATAAGCCCAATGAAAACTGAACTGATTGGCAGAAGATAATTCTGTAACTATGTGATTACATCCCTCATGCCAATAAAATGCTTCAGTTCTTCCACCTCTCTGGTGCATTTGTCCCAGAAGGCAGTGGGACTGTTCACCACTCACCTATGAACTGTAAAAGGGGTTATCACTCTTTGTGAATTTAACCCATGTCCTGTGGCAGAGGCCAAGAAATAAAGAGCAGTCTCTTCTCAGCACTTCTATTTGTCACACCCTCTGTGCATTGGAAAAGACAAATTGTGAAAGCCCACATAAGGTTAAAAGAGTCTACACAGGACTATGGACTATCCAGCGTAGTTTGGAGTGTGTTCGGGTGCAAATCTGTGTGCGTGTGCACGAGCACGTGCATGAAGTCAGTGAGTCATGTTCCAAATTATCCTGGCAGACTGTGTGCTCCTGGCAGCAAATACACAGTCAGCAGGGAGTTGTTAACTGCCACACTTCCTATAGCACCTGGTGCAGTACTGCCCTCTCTTCTGATTCTGAAAGTCTCTCACCTCTGGAGACAGGAACCAGCTGCAGAGCCATAGACAGAGATTACAGCCAAGCTATGTGTAGCAGGGTCAATATAGTGCTTACTTGTTAGTTAGTCTTGTGTTTTAAAGATGTTTTCCTGTGGGCATTCAAACCAGATGACTCTTGCCCTTCCCAGGTGGTATTGAACAGGATGCCATTCCTGAAACCTGGATGCCCAAAGCAAAAACTTGATGATACATCTTCCCAGCCGCTGACAGACTCTGGAATGCACAAATGTGGGATCTTTCATTGCAGGAATTCTTTATGGGAGAGCCAGGCCACAGAGACAAAAAAATACTGGGCCCCAGAGGGTCCCAGCTTCACCCTAGGGCTATGTCTACACAGCACCGTTATTTTAGAATAACTGATGTTATTCCAAAATGACATAGTCCGCGTCTACACTGCAAGCAGTTATTTTGACATGATGTTGAAATAATGTTGAGCTGGAGGACTTCTTATTCCAACTCCTATAAACCTCACTTTACAAGGTATAAGAAAAATTGGAGGAAGAGTGCTCTTTCTCGGATGTCCTGCTGTACAGATAGCACTAAAAGCCAAAATAAGCTATTTCAACTTAAGCTATGCGATTGACGTAGCTCTAGTTGTATAGCTTATTTCGGCTTTATCCCTTCTGTGT